CCCCAAAACCCCAAAACCCCAAAACCCCAAACTACTATTATTGAGTTAGTATTGTAATTAAAATAAATTAAGATCAATTTTACTACTATTAATTGGGAATTAGCATGAGCATTTGCAATTTAAGTCTAAGATCTGTGAGAGTTTAGAACTAAGGGAGATCAATGATATCCTAAATGTATTGATTCAAATCAAACTTGGCTAAGTCATTATTGACTGCTATTTGCTGAATCTTCTGAACAATTTTAACAACTAAATTCCTATTGCTTTGCTCACCTAATAGCTAGGGATTATCTATAAAGAACTGGACCTGTCTTTGAAGATACTACACTGCATTTTGATAGTCATCGATACTGATATAGCATAGAGCGATCTCAAAGTTAAGATTCCTATTTATTATAATCTTCTCACTTTTTATAGATTTCAAATCTTCTATTGCTTGCTCAAACATATCTAGTCTTTTGTAGATAAATGCTCTAAGCAGAAGGGTCTTATCATGACTTGATCTCAACTCCAAAGATCTATGAGTAATTGAATACAATAAAGAAATTCCTTACTCTTCTATACAAATTCTTGCCTTTTCTATAGCGAAATATTTATTGCTCTGTTCGGAACTTGAGTAGAATTATGCCTAGAGAACGTAATATTTAAAGTTTCGAGTATCTGCCTAGCTAGTTTCAATGCTATATATGACTTTATTTACGTTATCAAAATCCTTTAACTTTAGATAACATTTAGCAATCAGCAGCACTGTCTATAATGAGGGATTAATGATTGATGAATTTACTCTAAAAGTTTGCTTTAGTGAATTATGATCGTCATAGTCTATCTTATCTAATATCAATTCGCAATGGTTTATAGTCGCTCTTAAATCAAGTTACTTATACAAGCACTTTGCTTAGTAATAAAGGCCAAAGAGATATTCTTGAATGCTTGTCTGATCTTTTTAATTTGGGCTCAAGTCACAAAGGTGAATAAATTTTATGATATTCTAATGTGATTCAAAATAGTTTCTCTCTTTGAATTGGCAAATACCACTATAATAATTAAAAGAATAAGAAATACAGATATAAAAAAGCTTAAGCATTTTAGTTGTTCAAGTTTTGTGATTATTGAAAATCCATCATTGCCTATTAAATGTTTCTCTGCTTAAAATAAACAAGTCCTCTTAGGAAGAATGCCTGATACTTCTAAATAGATCTAAAAGAGTTTCTGTAAATATGCTGATTAAGAATGTTTAGACAGTCACTAAACTGCCTTTTATTAATCATCTGAAGATATCTTTCATATAGCTTGCTAGGTGTAGGATATGTGATAGATTTTGATCCTGATCTTACATTAGGAGAAATTACCTGAATTGTTTTCATTATTGGTTCAACAGTAGTTTTCTTGTTATTCTCTTTATTAAAGGTACCAAGTGGACTAAATATTCTTTGATTGGTTCTTTGATTTGAAGTTGTCCTGCTATTATTAGAAGTCTTATTATTCTAGAATGATTTTGTGCTCATTGTATAAATTGGGCTAATAGTTTTTCTTGATAGTGAATGCTACAAAGATTGATCCTCAAAGTTAACCTATATCACTTAAATAGCATTTTTCTTTTGCTGCTAAACTATATTCTTTGTACTAAACAGTTTATTACTTTAAACTTTCTCCTTAAGTATGTTATTTTTACTTAGAAGTGCATTTGTGTATTTCTTAATATTTTTAGGTGAAGGAATTGATTTTTTTGTCATTGAAAATGAGCTAATAGTATTCTAACTTGAAGACTTGCTAAGTGAACTTGAATTTAAGGGTTAAGATTTTTGCACTTTGTTAATTTACTTTAATATGCTCATTGAGGAGAGATTTCTTATAGAATTATTGAATTACTAAGTAGCGTTTTAGGTGTTAGTCTAGGATATTCTGCTAGTGTTATTACTATTGCTCTATGGAGTAATACTTGAAACTTCTCCAGAAGATATCTATCCTTCTCCTTCTTTTTTGAAATGATCTTAAGCATAATTTTCCTTTTGATATCTATAATTCTTTTGCTATTTCTTTAGATAAGTTGTTACTTAGGTCGTTTATTGTTTCTTTGGATTTAAATACATTCTTTTAATCATATTCGTTTGATTATATTCCTAATTGCTTTAAGCATCTTCTTGGCTGTCCTTGCTGCCTCTTCTATTTGGGGGTGACTTTTTTCTTATAATCATCTAAGTTAAATCCTCAAAGACTTTTTCTTATAGCTCTTTTGACTTTTATTTATCTATAAATCTTTTTTCTTCTTCATCAAAGTTCCCAATCTAATTAATATACTCCTAGAAATTATAGCCATCACCGTTAAAAGATATCGGGGATTAAACACTTTCACGATGATCTCGATCAACATTCATATTTGCGAAGAATTTTCTGTAATCTTTCACAATATCTTTGCCACTACTTATTCTATGAAGCTGGACTTTAATCTTATCAGAATTTAATAGCTCATCGTTTGGTGAGGGACTAGTTGCTTAAATTTTATCAAAAACTTGTTTATCTGGAAAAGATTAAAGAAGCTCATTTGATAGCCTTAATCTACTCAATGAACCAACATGATTCATGTGTCTTCTGCTTTGAGAAAACTATTCAGCATCTAATGCATAGGTGTAGTCATCTAGTGCCTTGGCAAAGTTACCTCTAAGGTTTTCACAGGATGCCAGACTGTATGCTGATTTTATATTAGTCGTGTCAAAATCTATGGACTACTGAAAATAAACAGCCGCAATATCATATAGATCTTGTTTTTGAGAAATGACTCCCTTGTGATAATATATCTAAGATAGTATGCTCTTAGATAATTAATTCTTATCGTTATTCATTAACTCTTCGATCATTATGTTTGCCTATATTTAGATTGAGTTAAAAAACTAAAATCAGAAATTTTCTTACTTCATTCAGTTAATCAACTTTTATAAGTTATTGAATTTTTTTAAGATTCAAATTAGCTTCACCCACTCTTGGAGATACTTATATATCACTGGTTTATATTAGTGATTTTACGCTCTATCTCTATATTTCTTGGTTTTTATATTGTTTAAGGAACCTTTGTCTCCTATCATGATTATTTTAATTGATGCTTAAGGGTGATGATGTGCAGGATAGCTGCTCAAACATTAATCTCTAATTCATATTTAACGTTTAATAATTAATTATTTAAATTAATGAGGTTGATTGCATCTGTGAAAATTAAAAGTTAATATAAAGAAAGAATTTTTGTTTTAATATTATTTTATGATTCTTTAATTAATTAAATATATTGCATAATTTGACTTTATATATTTAAAGCTTAAATGAATGTTTTTTATGGTAAAGCTAAACAATAAAACTAGCTTGAAGAAAACGCCAGAAATAAGCAGACTGAAAATACCATTTTAAATAATCACAGTAATCCAGTTCTTGATATGATGGATTCAGGAAATATTAAATAGCAATTGAATTATTCTTAAGAGATAGAGGAGGAAATAGATTAATTTGAAGAATACATCAATGTTGATTCTATTATAAATGATAAAATTTATAATCCAAGTTAAAATTATGATTACTAGAATGTTATTAAGGCTAATCCTTTACTTCATAACAAGGGTTCTTCTTTAAATATCACAGTTATTTAATTTATTGAATAAGAATAGGCCTTATCTAGATCTAATTTTGTCGATATTGAAGAGGATAAAGAGTTTTCAGATGCAATAAGACCATAAAAAAATAAATTTAATACTGACTCACTTAATGGTTTTGTTTTTACTAGAGCGCATTACTCACCAATAGGTAAACTATGTGGTTCACTTGGCAAGGTTATATCTAGTGAGGATTTAAAATTTCTGAGCATAAGATCTGAGACTCCAAGAATGGAGTCTAAGAAGAGCAGTAGAAAGGGTACAGGGAATAACAGGGACTTTGGAAATATCCTTGTAGAAGATTTAAATAACCATAACCAATAACCTATCATTAGTGGTCGAAATGCATCACCCACTAAACAAAAGATGGGCAATAACTTTATCATGCCAAATACAGGTGTGGATTAGATGTCCCCTCGAGAGATGAAATCCCCTAAAAAACTAAAGATAGTTAAATTCACTAGAAAGTAAAGTGCGAGTGGATTATCGCCGTAGCTTAAGACTAAAAAACTTTCATTGCTTGCTAAAAGTAAATCAGGTGAAGAAGAACTACCATAAATTGAAAATTCAAACTTCAAATAAAAAGCTAAGAGGATGGAAACTGAGGAACTTAAAGATAGCAAATAATAATTGATCAATAAAAAGACCCTGTCAAATAGTAATGTAAGAAGAAAAACTGCAGATTTAAACTCAAGTAAAATAATTTCAGAATAAAATAGCGAGGCAGATCAAAATTTAATGAAGAGAATGCCTAGTATCCTTAAAAAGCGCACTCTATATCAGAAGCAAGTTACTCCTACCAAACAATAATCATCAATGCTTATTTAGCAAGCAAAGAAATAAGTGAGATTTAATCCAAAAACAACTATTCATGAATATGAAAAACTTAAAGATATCAGTGATTCTTCTAGTTCTGAGGAGTCTGAAGAGAATAATTTTGATTAATTGAATGGATAAATTATAGAAGAATCTAAGAATTATCTTTACAATAAAAAGGATATTGAATTACTAAGCCAAGTCAAAAAGCCTTTCCATAAATTTATCATTCCGCCAGATGACCCTGTTTTTAAATATGATTACAACTATTTATTTTTCAAAGATAGAGAGACTAAGAAGAGGTTTTACACTGAGTATAAAGTATGCAAAGGCTACTTTAAAAGAAAGGCAAGATTATCCTTAGATGATAAGACTGCTAAAACTTTTAAGAAAGTTTTTTAAAGAAGGCCGAGTGTACCTAATTTCACTCAGAAGCCAGATGGCACAAAAAAGCATACAAGGAAAAGTAAGTATTAAAATACTTATTAAAAATAATCATTTCATCTATAGCATTGGTCTTTGACCTCGATAATACTCTTATAAAATCAGCATATAAAAAACATAAATTATCTGACTACGATTCATATATTTATGTTAATATCTTGGGTAATAAACGTATAAGGGTAAGTTACATTATTGGTTTTTTTATAATTAAAATGTAGTTGTACATTTCTTATCGACCATTTGTCAGAGAAATGCTTGAATAGCTTAGATAGGATTTTGAACTTGTGCTTTACTCTTCATAATCTAAAGATTATACTCAAAAAGTAGCTTTACTTCTAACTATTAACCCGAATGAAAATTATCCTTGCGTTTTTCATCATGTGTTATCCAAAGATGAATGCATTTATGCTGATGACATCGACATGTACATATCAGATCTAGATCTTTTAGCAGATAATAGAAATCTGAAAGACATTATTATACTTAGTGACTCTCTCGGCAGAACTATTAAGCATTTAAAAAATTGTGTTCCTGTTCGAAGTTTTACTGGAAATAAGAAAGATTATTCAATGGTAGCGCTAGTCAGATATCTGAAAAGCTTCATAAGAGTAAAAGATATAAGAGAAAAAATATTATAAGACTTTAAAACGATCGATTATTGATAAGTTGTTCAATATTATAAAAATTAAGGGCACTCTCTATAAGTTCTAATTAATTAACAACCTAAATACTTATAGTATAATACATTAACTAACAAACATTCATAGAAATCTTCCTATTTCAATGATTTGATTGTTCTTGCTTCGAGAGAACTTTCTCCTATCAAGTTCTTTCTATTACTAATACTTTTCTTTATCATTTAAGACACATTATTTAATCCTAGCAGAATCGAAAATGTCATCGTTCTATCTTTATTTATCAGTGACCTCTTTTAGGAAAAAGTCTTTCAAAATCTAAGTCCTAACATCTCTAACGTCTTTTAACTTCATTAAGTGCTAAACTAAGTGAGGTAAGCGATCATCATCAAGTTCACCATAGTAAGACTTAATGGGTATCCCATTTTCTAAATTGCTACTATAGGATTCAATCTTATTATCTACAATAATTATATCTTTCAATGACCTTCCATTGGTCAAAATCTATAGATCTTTTATGAAAACTTTTTGTCTGTCCACAAAGAGACATTAATCTCTAACCAAGATATGTGAAAAAAATTGGTGCCCTTCGAATGTTTACAGAACCCTATCAGCGTAAGCAAAATTCGCTGCTGTAAATAGAATCAGCTCAAAATGCTGTGATAATTCGTTAAGAGCATCCAACAAGCCTGGTCTCCACTTTACATACCACTAAAGATAAAACTTGCTATTATTTATATATTTACAAAATAGTTTTCATCGATAACTAATATCTTCTAGTCATAGCCGAATTCAGGCACTTGCTCTTATGCTCGAACTAATGTTTCGTCTAAGTCGAAGACTATGGTCTTTTTAACTAAAAGGTGTAATTTTACTAATATGACTTACACAAAGAGGTTTTTTTAAATTAATTAGATAATGTTTATACCCATCTTTCATAAGTTTTTTATACTTATTCATGTTAATTAATAGTGATATCCTTTTAAAATTATACCATTAATGCTTCTTTAATGCTCTCTTTATATTATTCAAGATCCATATCTTTTTCAAAGAATAAACTATTGTAATTATTTAGAGATTTTCTCTTTTCTATGTTATCAATCTCGTCACTTAAGCCTTTTATTAAATACACATAGGATTTAGAGAGTTGATGAAATTACAGCTCCTCACTTTTTACAGTGAGAACTGCTTCAGATCTCATTCTTTGGTATGGTTTTTTTACAATCAAAGTATCTAAGTCTCTTTTTGAGACATAAGCAGTTTGTGATTTTTTAAACTAAGAGTCATTGACTGATGATTATAGTTCCTCAGAATTCTCTTAGATTTCTTATATTAAGTTGTCACAGAATATCTAGCCTGTTAATGGGGCTGCATATTTCTGGATTTCATCCTTGTACTGTGCATCAAGACTTTGTAGATTTTTGTATCTTAAGCCTTTCATGCTGCTGAGTTTATTCCTTGGCTACAACTTATCGCGATAGGTTTATTGCTCTGGGGATGGTCTGATTTACTTTTGCTCTTCATTGTCCAAACTTGATCGGATAAATTAGTTACTATCTAAATTAGTAAAAATCAAGAATAAGATACTTTTAAATCTATTTTAAGGAGAATGTTCATTAGTTAATAGAGAATTTCTTACTTGCACTTCTTATTTACTAGATGCATCCCAAGTATTGTCATTAATTGTCTTAAAAGTCAACCTATTATTAGAGTCCTTATTATGTGATTGCATATCCCTGATATTAATATTATTGGATTATGGCCCCGCATGATTGGTTGATTGATTCAAATTAAAACAGCTAAGAACTGTATTCTTGCCAGAATCCCTGTGACCTCCAGGAGGATTCATTTATTTCCCATTAATATTCTTTTGTATCTCAGATAATTAACCAGTGTTGAATGTCTTGTTTCTCGCTCTATCCTTTTAGAATTTCATCATTTCAATTTCCTTTTTCAAAGACTACTCCCATTTCCAATCGTCAGCTATGTAGCCTTTGTTTTTCAATAGTGGATTACTTTATTTTTATTCGATAATACTCCCAGTGTCATATTTCTTTAATTTTTCTTCTACCCTTCCATATTTAGTTATAGCTTAAAATCTCATTTTTTCTTTCATAGATTAAGTTGGAGATATTATCTCCTCAGGTACTGTTTCCTCTTAAATATTTGACATTCCATCATCATTATTTCTCTAATTGTAATTTTACTACATTTTAATCTTTATATAAATTATTACTTATTAATAGAGTTTGAGAGATTTTCAAAAATTATAAATTAAATATATTATTGATGATCTCCTGATGTTTCGAATAACTTAACTGATATTTAAGCATTATGCTAAATCTGATCATTTGCTGAATAATCTTCAATCGTCCTGCTTTTTACTTGTAAGCTCAACAGAAGAAAGAGGGAGTTTTACTTTCTCTAAACCGCTTTGTTCGTACATTAAGACTGAGCAGCAACACAAACACTAAAATCCAAATATGCCCCAATAAATAATAACTAAGGCATATAATAGTTAGCCTCTTTGGATTAATTAGTTTTCTGAAGGGATTAAATGATTATGCTTAATACTACAGAAATCTCCTCCATCGGAAAACCTCTCATGGACATAAACAAATGCAGCAATACCTAAGCATCCATTTATAGATAAGATTTCATAAAGTCTTTCAACAACTGAGAACTCTAAGCAAAAAGCTATATATAAAATAGCTAGAAGATTTCTCGCAGTGTCAATTACATGATAGGCAAAGACAATTATTAGGGCATGGTTGAATAATTACGTAATATCCATGTTGTCCTAAGTTTTGCACTAATTATTGACTTCCACATTAAAATAGTAGTATCCTGAGGCGACTGCGATGCCTATAGATATTATCAAGTGCACAAAGTATTGCAAAAAGAATCCACATCTTTGCATATTAGTCAATCTATAAGCCTTTTGATGAAGGGGAATTAAAGTGAAGAAGGTTGCCATTTAATAAAAATAATTAAATTTAATTTTAAAATGAATAACGATAAGAATGTAGAATCACTAGCTCTATACAGTCTATTTTAGAAGCTTGAAGAATAAAAAGTTAAAATGATTAACAGTCAAGACCCTGCTTTGTTTGAAAACACTAGTCAAAATATTTTAGCAAGTAAGTATAGCGAGACAATTTGATAATTTATGAAATATCAGAAAATAACTCTAATTTAGCTTTGAAATAGGTAAACTCTGTGAAAGGCTGGAATGATTTAGTAAATACAATGTTAGCTGCTGAAGAATCTGAAGAACAGCTAATTCAGTTTAATCTGATTAGAAATAGAAGAATTAAAGAGTATAAAATCCTTTTTTACTTTAATACTCCTTTAGCCGTCCAATTAATGGATCAGCAGAATTATACCTAATGGAATGCTAGTCTCCAGAAGCTGATAAGATTAAGTAGTAAATGATTTAATGCATGGACGAGATAGAAAATACTGAGCTAGAGTTAATAAATATGGAGGATAAGGAGAATATCAATAGTAACATTCGAAACAAGAAAATATTATAACGAGAAATGAAACTTAGAATAAATAGACTTTAGGAGTAATATGAAAAGCTTTATATATAGTTTAAGAAAGTCAATTCATTATGAAACTACCAAATTATAATTAATTAATTGTAAATTTAATTATCTTAATCTAATGCTTAAAATTGAATAATGGGGTTTTGGGGTTTTGGGGTTTTGGGG